GGCTATTTTGGGGCAATTTTTTGGGTGGGGTCCACTTCTGATTTGGGTCGGGTCAAAGTGGTTTCGGATTGTCCTTGCTTAGGGCTACAATTCGATATATGGTACGCTCAAAACGGATAACGGGTGAATGAGAAACCGCTTTTCGAAGTTTACCCGTTGGAATGGAGAAAATTAGGAAAATGATGGATTTCTAGTGTGGTTTTCCCACACCGGAAAACCCAAGGGAATTTGAACCCTTTATAAAGGGAACCCCCCCTTAAGGAGTTAAGATTCCTTAGGGTAAAGGCTCTCTCCACGCGCGCAGGGGGGTGGGGTGCGAATCAAATCCGGAAACCGAAGAACAAAAAGCCCGACTTGCGTGCGCGGGCGACTTGCGGACACGAATGTCGTCCGAAAATTCTATCTTCTAAAGATAAACGTTAATTTTTGTTCCTCCGTTAGTTTCCTAATTTTTGCAATAAATGGACGGTTTTTTGGAATAAACCCCAACGTTACTTTGCAATAAATGGACGGTTTTTTGGAACTTTAGTTTGAGTGCTAAACTATTGTTCGAAGTCATCGTATCCTGGGAAACGATCGTTGCAACGCTCCTAGCACCCCGGGAGGCAACGAATACGTTTTAAGGAAATCGTGCTTGGCACGAGCTTTGCCTTATTCTGCTTCATCTCATTTCTCATTTTTCCTTCAAGTCATTTTATTTAATTAATTTTATTAATTATTTTCTTAGTTTTTCGAAACACACCCAACATACTTTGTGGTATATGATATAACACGTAGTGTAGATTGTGGTAATATAGTACTCCATAGGGTAATGCCTCCAGGCATTAATATTAATGCTACAATCTCATCGTCATTTGACTATATTGAAACACAGTTTTTCTTTTTAAATAACATATTCCTTTTTTAACAATTGGGGTATCAAAATGCATCATTACCATTATGTGAAGTCTATTTTGGTATTGACCGCAAGTTGACATTTTTTTCATAAAGATAAACGTTAATTTTTGTTCCTCCGTTAGTTTCCTAATTTTTGCAATAAATGGACGGTTTTTTGGAATAAACCACAACGTTACTTTGCAATAAATGGACGGTTTTTTGGAACTTTAGTTTGAGTGCTAAACTATTCTTCGAAGTCATCGTATCCTGGGAAACGATCGTTGCAACGCTCCTAGCACCTCGGGAAGCAACGAATACGTTTTAAGGAAATCGTGCTTGGCACGAGCTTTGCCTTATTCTGCTTCATCTCATTTCTCTTTTTTCCTTCAAGTCATTTTATTTAATTAATTTTATTAATTATTTTCTTAGTTTTTCGAAACACACCCAACATACTTTGTGGTATATGATATAACACGTAGTGTAGATTGTGGTAATATAGTACTCCATAGGGTAATGCCTCCAGGCATTAATATTAATGCTACAATCTCATCGTCATTTGACTATATTGAAACGACACAGTTTTTCTTTTTAAATAACATATTCCTTTTTTAACAATTGGGATATCAAAATGCATCATTACCATTATGTGAAGTCTATTTTGGTATTGACCGCAAGTTGACATTTTCTTCATAATTGAGTGTGTTGTTCTTTGATGGCAATCCTTAACGGCTGTATTTGACGTTTAAAGGAAAGAACTACATCAACATCATACACCAAAGTGTATGAAGTCATGATTCAAGAAAGTATATCGATCATAACTACAAGTAAGTTGTAGACACCATATGTTCATAATGGAGCATAGCTTATATTTTACTTTAAGGCTCTAGCAAACTATAATTTTTGCGAAGTAACATAATTGTAAATAATCCGACATGGTAGGTGCACGGCACTCGCACAATACAATAGTTGCATGGAATCTCATAGACATTGTTAGAACTAACCAATTATACAGAAAACTCACATAGAAATATCAAAAACAAGAACCGCAAACTTTATTGAAGAACAGTAACAAATGGCCGGAGCCCCCGAATGAGCCGAAGCCCCCCCAAAAGAGAGAGAGAGTAATCTCAATCTTCCCAGTTCCCAAGACAAAGTGTTAAACAGCCTACCTTGTATTCTCCCCTCCACCTCTATTTATATTCACTCTTCTAATATTATTCTTATTCTCATTTATTATTATTCTATATATGTAGGTCCCTAACAGACATAATTATAATCATCTAGGGTTGGGATCAAACTTGTTTATTTTAAAGTTCTTGGATTTCGATAAATAAATTGTTTATGTCAAAGTTCAAGCAAAGTTTTATTTTAGCAGAAGGGATTGCTATCGAATTGTCATGCACAATAGGTGCACCACACCCGCACAGTAGGTGCACAGAATTAATGCATGTAGTTGGTGCATAGAGGAGGAGACAGTTTCTTAATTGTGAATAATCACATGTCCATGTAGCTAGGTTACAAAGGAGGAGGTGGCCTAGGAAGACAGGCAAGAAAGTATGGAAGTAAGAACTTCTTCTGATAATCGACTGATGATATCGACATTGTACTCAACTGACAGATGATTGTATATCGCCCAACATGAGTAAAAGCATAAAATATTTTGGTATCCAGTATCCACTAACTGTAGAAAAATACATGCATTTCTAACACAAAAAAACAGGATCATGAATGCATGTTAAAAACAAAATGAACTGATTAATTTGGTCCACTTAGAGTGCTTTAAATCTGATATATGGAGTATTTGTTATGTGTGAAAACACATACAAATGTTCAAACCTCGGGTGGATTAGGAAGTACATCCCTGCTCATTTTGCTAAACACAGAATCAAAAGAAAGTTTTTTTATGGAACTGTACTGTAAACGCTCTTATCTATTCTATATGTGTGATGGAGACACGCACACACGCGCGCCCACACACGCGCGCGCGCGCGCACACACATATATATACCATATACTTTGAGCTTTCATTTATTTTCAGTAGGTAGAAATGCAGATAATTTGTAGTGGATTATAGTAATGCAAGGGAGTAATGATGATGAATATTAATGAAAGTGAGTTAGTAAATAGCATGCACTCCTCGTTTTGTTTATTACGGAGTAGCAAATAGCATACTACTCTTATTAAAAAAAATAGCATACTACTCCGTGTAGAATTAACTGGCACTCTGTGTTGAATGATCAAGTAATGGTCAAAAGTTTATTGCATTATCTCAATCTGAACAAATAATCTGATTCAGAAACCTCAATTTGACACTCACAAAAAAAAGTAGGATTGAATTTTTGGCAGGGATTAGCCAAAACATATAGAGGATTTGACACGGATACGCCAAATCGGTGTCAATGACATGTTGTCACGACCTATTTGGGGGCGGGGTTGGGGATTCAACCTTTCGGACAAATTGAAAATAAAATTCATGTTCAATTACTGATTTTAAGCTTCACATGAAACAAGGGTATGTCTTATCCTCATCATCAGTCATTTAACCCAATGATATAATTGATATACTCTGCAATACGCTGGATTATGGTAATATCACTAATATTACGAATGCGAATATAACTTCATGCGGAAATATTGCTACAGCACTCAACCAGATCATTTAATTTTACAGCACTGTAACATTAATAGTAAGGTTAAATAAATTAAAATTTTAATAAAAAAGTAAGGTCAAACAATTCGTTTGATTTTTCCGGGACATTTTTTACAGTTACTCAACTTACTCAACTTAATTGGAGTGGATATAGACATATAGTCCACCGGTATCACTATGGATTCCATATAGAGTGTTATTTTATGGCATTGTAGGTGCACACCATTAGCACAACAAGCGCGCAGTGGGTGCGCAATACCTGCACGACAAGCGCACGGTACTGGCCTAACCCAACTCTTACTTTTGGCTATGCCCCTGACGGTACATGTACGCCACTCGCTTGTAAAGCACAGGGTAGGTGTGTGGAATCCATTCATGAAAAGTGCACGATAGGTTCATGGAATCAATGTAATTAGTACACGAATATTGGATATTATTATTGAGTAAATCACATATATGAGTAAAAGTATTAAAAAGGTGCACATTTAGGAGTGTTAATGAGATTAATGTTTAGTAAGACTAAATTGAAGATGCTTTTAAAAAATAATCGTACTCCAGTTAGGAGTCATTGGAATTCTGAGACTAAAGATCAGATTCCGCAAATAGAGGCATTTACACTGAATATTTTTGCAACCGTGAATGGAAGAAAAAGACAGTTTACAAAAGTAGATGGCAATGGAAGGATATGGAATGACATGAAAATTGAAGTTTCTAGAAAAACACTTGTTAAAACCTCTGGTGGCAAGTACAACGCTCCTCATATTTAAAATGCAGAATGAAAGGAAATGTATTTTTTCTGTGAATATTTTATGGAACAAACTTTAGACGTTCTATCCTGTAATCCTGTATTCTTTGAAAGCAAAGGCAGAATGAGAAATCTTGTGTTGGGGACGCAGATATAAAAACCATTGTACTTGGAGTTTTCATTTATTTTGAGTAGGTAGAAATGCAGATAATCAATTTTTAATGACTTGCAGTAAAAATGAAAGAGAGCTAAAGTGTGATTATGCTCTAGTAAGTGACTAGAGCATACTGTTTCGAGCTTTTTTCTATGTACTGTTTTATTTTTTCTGTAATTTGCTATTCGCGTTGTACTATTTACTTTTTTTCAATAAAATTTACTTTTTCTTAAAAAAAAAGTGACTAAATGCATTTTGATTCGAATGCATTATTTATCACTAGTTAGAATTTTTATCACTAGGTAGAATGAGAGGATGTTGTTGGGCAAGTTATCACTAGTTATCATTTTGCTTTCTCACTTCTATTTTTAATAAAACAATCTGTAAAAATCTGTTTGGGTTGAAATTTGAGTAAATCTGGACATTGGGCAAGATATGTTGCAAGTTTTACTCTGCAATTTATATATATATATATATATATATATATATATATATATAAGGATCTTCTTTTCTTCTCAGCAAATTGGTGGACAACTTATGGACATCATGTGTCAAATTTGCAAAAATTAGCTATACGGATCCTCTGCTTGACATGTAGTTCATCCGGTTGTGAGCGAAACTGGAGCACTTTTGAAGGGGTTAGTTCTTTAAGTACTTTTTGTTCATTTCAGCGCTTGTAGACGTCACCTTTGGAATTTTGATTTAATTATTAGTCTTAAAATATCCCTATTTTTATTCATTTCAGCACTTGTTTGACAATGTTTTCTATTTACATGGCTAGATTCATACGAAGAAAAGGAATAGGTTAGATGTCAATCGTCCAAACAATTTCGTGTATGTCCAATCCAATGCAAAGTTACTCAAAAAAAGGAAAAAGGACATGGATGACTATATTGATTTGCTATCACGTGATGCTAGGAATCCACAAGGGTGGTTGGTTAGTGAGAGTGAAATTGATGAAGATATTGTCCATGTTGTTGAAGAAGCATCTCAGGAAAATGAAATACCAAAACCACGGAGTGCCAAGAGAAGTATATGATGATGACTTTGAATCGAAGAAATAAATCTGAACATTGATTTGTTGTCCAATGGAGAAGAAGATATGGCATAGCTTTGAAGCTGATTTTGTACTTCCTATTAAACTATTAAGGAGTTATGTTGCCTCTTAACTTGTTCTAAATTTCTGTTTGCATTTTGAATCCTTGATTACTGATTAGTTGACTGAATTTTTAAACTTTTGTTTACCGTTTATGTTACTTGGGATGATGATCTATTGTTAAACTTGTTAGGTTTGTTGCTTATTGAGTTGTTCAATGGAAGCTCCTATTTTTTAATCATTTATGGCATTAAATCATTAATTATGAAAGCTGGTTTTTAATTTTTTTTACTGTATAAATGGATCAACACATGGTGAATGACTGAATTGAGGCAGAAAATCCATGCTCTGAGTTGCCGATTAGTCGGCCTAGGCACTAAGCGGCCCTCTGCCGCCTGACTAGCACCTAGCGAATTTTAAAACATTGCCTATATATTAGTAAAATTTTAATTTTTAGTTTGACGTTTCGTTGCCGTACCTGTTTGTTGACATTTTGACATTAGAGTTTCCCGTCTCCGTTTCTGTACCGGTGCTACTTAGGCACCATCTCCATAACAATAATTTCTCTTCATATTTGCTACCATTAGTCAAGCTGGCAACCGTTTACCAGCTGTAGATGGCCAAAGCAGCCAAGGAGGAAGTGCGGGGAGATGCAATTGCCACTTTAAGAACCCCTTATGGCGCTCTCTAATTAGTTGCTACATACTGGATCTACTTATGTTCTACACTTTGGTGGCAAGGTGTGGCAATGCTTTAATTATTCTCAATTGGCAATGCTTTACAAATGAACTAAAATGAAACAAAGAAAATATTTTATATGGAGCGTGATTACATTAAGAAAGAAAGCAATGAAAAGGAACAATAAAAAACCAAAGACTTCAAACATGAAGACAAATGGATACAATGCCCTATTTCCAGCCTTTCATAGAAATGTAAAAGCCATGTAAGACCAGAAATGGTTCAGCAGGAGTAGGAGCAGACTAATCAATGATTCAAATATATTTGGCTGTGATGGCTATGAGTAGGAGCAGCTAAAGAGCAATCAGAATATATGTATCTGAATAAGATTTTGTTGAGCATAATGATCATATAGATTAACTCAGGAATGGAGAAGGAAGATGATTCAGGTATACAAGGACCAATCAGTCCAAGCTCCTGAAACATGTCCATTCTCACAAACATAGGCTCGCACAACCTGCTCACCGTCTTCATGGAACCCGAAATACCTTCTCAAGCAGAACGCAGAATGCAAGTCCCAAGTCTGTTTGGCATTGCAGAATGCGCAACTCAGATCTGTCTGTTTCTTGTTCCCGTCATTAATTGTCCTCCAAACCCTAGACTGCTTGAAATCCTTGAATATTCCTCGGAATATCATGTAGTTCCTCTTCTCCTCGATATGAATGCAACCTGGCCAATCGGAGATGTACAGGCGATCCTCTCTGAATCTACTCGCGAGGAGCTTAATCCCGTGCTCACGGCTCAAATTCCAGGCCCCGGATGCCATATGAGAACAACTAGATCTGACAGATCTGACTGTTTTTATTCTCTTAGATCTGAGGATTTGGATTGAATTTTCCGTCGTGGGAGACGGAGGTCTTTTGGTAGAATGGTCCCGCACCTGGTTTGATGATGATCCGGAAGCATCGCAGAGAGTATCAAACATCAGATCGTCAAACAAAGACCAGCCACAATCAGGTTGTTCAGAACCGACGCCGTCGCTCTTCACGATAGAGAGAGTCTTCTCAGAGGCGGCGGTGGCTGGGAAATCCTCATCCGGACCGAGATCGCGTTCGAGGCCGAAATCGGAATTTGCTAAGAGCACTCCGGCGTGGAGGAGGCCAGGGCAACAGAAAGCTAGCTTGTAGAGAGAAAGCCAACCGCCAGGAGGAGCCGCGGAGGAGGCGGAGACGAGATCGGAAACGACGGAGGAAATCGTCTGTGAGCACTTGGATTTGCAGCAAAGGTTACGGATGAGGGAAGAGAATTTGGTTGAGACACAGGAGAGTCGTGCCCAGTTGCGCGGGTCTCCATCGAGCCTGTAGAAAATGTTGAGAACGATGTCGTCGGAGAGCTCAGAGAAGGCATTCTCATTTTCAGCCATGGCGGCCTCTCCTACTAATCTCGCCCAAAAGGATCGCAGTGGCATTTTAGCGGTCAATGGGCAGGGCCAAATCAATCCGCTGTCGTCCAACAGAGGTTTGGTTGAATTGATGGATAACCAATCCAACCAAACCATACCAAATTTAACACCTCACAAGTAGGAGTAGGTAGGTTTTTACTCGGTTTTCAGTCCCAACCTATATCCGATCAGATTTGATCAAATCACTTGAACAGTTATAAAATAACATAGATCAGACATTTATCACACTAGATAAAACCAATTCGGACCAGATAGATCAACCCGACTAGACCAGAAAATTTCAATCCAAATGAAAACAACCTAGGAGGGTATATGTCGGGTTCGGAGTACGGACCGATCATCCAAACTCATATATGAACTGATATTTTTACTTGAACGGTTTTCAGTCCCTAACTAGATCAAACTAGATCAAATCACGAAAGATTATATTAAGACAAGATCAGACTTGGAGAGTTATAAAATACACAGATACCAAACATCTTTCAGACCAGACCAGTTCAAATCAGTACAGATCAGATAAGAAAATTTCAGTTCAATTAAAAGCATCCTTATACTAAACTTAATGTGTGAAATTTAAAAAATGGAATATTTTTTCCCAGCTATTTTATGTTATGAGTCGGGTTTGAGATATATTACCACCCGTCTTAGGATGTTTTCTTTTGGACTGAAATTTGCTGGTCTGGTCTGTTTAAATCTGGTCTGGTCTGTTTAAGTCTGGTCTGGTCTGAACTGGTCTAGTCTGGTCTGGTAAACGTCCGGTATCTGTGTATTTTATAACTACGGAAGTCTGGTCTGGTCTGGTCTGGTCTGTTTAAGTCTGGTCTAGTCTGGTCTGGTCTGTTTAGGTCTGGTCTGGTCTGGGACTGAAAACAGTCCAAAAGAAAACATCCTTAATCTCTATATACTTATAGAGTTAAAGGAACTACATATGAGAGACAAGAACTCTCTCTCCTAATGTTGAGGTCTGCTACATAATTTTACTCTTAAAATAGAAATAAAGACCTATATATCACTAATAGACTTTTAGTTGACAAAAATATGACAATATTTTAAATGGACAAAAAAGTGACTAAACATAGAATTAAATGTGCAGTCCATATATTCCAACATGATCTAATGTGTCTTCTTCATAAATCCCTAATGCAATCAATGGTCTTCTTAGGCCAGGCTATGCGACAAACATAAGTGACGAGCGGCATTGGTGACGTCTAACCCTGTGAGGCGAACATCAATGATTATTAGTAGACGAGAGGCGGTGGCGACCAATTCATTGTGGCGAACATTAGAGGCAGTGTCTCCTTCTCCTTCTTCCTGTTTTTTCATCATTACTGCCCATCCGCTCCATCTCGATGTTGGACTTTCGGATGGACAAAGAGTACAAGCTACTAAACAAGGATCAGTTCGTTTGTCTAATTCCATATGTCTGACTAATGTGTTATTTGTCCCAAAATTAAATTGTACCCTCATCTCTGTTTCTCAGCTTACTGAAGAGCTCAACTGCTTTATTCAATTCACTTTTAACATTTGTGCTATTCAAGACCGGAGGAGGTTGATTGGAGCGGGTGAGAGGCGGAATGGACTTTACTATTTTCAAGACATCTCATGAACACATATTTTTGGGATGCGTAAGGAGGAGGATCATATGGACACTCGACATTGACGGTTAGGGCAGCCATCTGAATCAATAATGAAATGGTTACCTGGTTTGAGTAATCCCAAAAATATTATTTCTCAACCGTGTGACATTTGTTTTCGAGCTAAACATCCCAGAGAGTCTTCTCCTGTTGGTACCAACAAATCTACTCATATGTTTGAACTTATACATTGTGATTTGTGGGGGCCTTACAACACCCCGTCTTCCTGTGGTGCTAAATATTTTTTAACTATTGTGATGATTTTTGTCGTACTGTTTGCTTGGGTGTATTTATTGGTTGACAAAACTGACGTATTTTCTATGTTTATGTCCTTCTGTGCTATGGTAGAACGACAATTTACTCAGAAACTCAAGGTGGTTCGTAGTGATAATGGCACTGAATTCAATTGTCTCAAGGATTTTTTTCTTGCCTCCGGTATTATATTTCATACCTCTTGTGTTGCTACTCCTCAACAAAATGGGTGTGTCGAACGCAAACATCGGCATATCCTTAATGTCACTCGGGCTCTCAGGTTTCAGGCGCACCTTCCTATTCAATTTTTGGGAAAATGTGTCTTGACTGCAGCACATCTTATTAACCGCACTCCATCGAGTGTTCTTGGACATAAAATGGCTTTCGAAATTCCATTTGGAAAATTGCCTGATTATGACGCTGTTCCCGTTTTTTGATGTTTATGTTTTGCACACAATTTGCGGTCTGTCAAGGATAAATTTCTCAATCGTAGTCGAAAATGTATTTTTGTGGGGTACTTTTTTGGTAAAAAAAAAAAGGATGGCGAGTTTATGACCTTGATACTAACGAATATTTTTTCTCTCGTAACAGTCAAATTCTTTGAAGATCAAATTCCATTCAGCCATCCTGCATCTACTATCCTACCAGAAGAATCTCCACCTCTTCCTTCTGTAGTCATCTGGGAATACCCGACTAAGCTCTGTCCTTCTCCCCACCCACCAAGGCAGAATATCCTCCAGTTGTTACAAGTGATACACCTTCAATTTCCACTTCTCCGTCGGTTGACTTGGGTTGTGGAAAACGCATCAAACTTCCCTCAGTTAAATTGAAGGACTATGGCACTCACACGATGATTCACGAAAGCCCATTCCCCGCCTCCTCTGCCGCCTCCAACACCTCTTCAGGTACCCCGTTTTCTATAGCTCATTATGTTAATTGTGACAAATTTTCTCCTCGATATTGTCAATTTTTGGCAGCTCTTTTAGTCCAGCAGGACCCTGCCTCCTTTCATGAAGCGGTTAAAGATGCAGGGTGGCGTGACACTATGCATGCTAAAATTCACGCTCTTGAACAAAATCACACTTGGACTATGCAACCGCTCCCTCCCGGTAAACGGGCCTTGGGTTGTCGTTGGGTGTACAAGATCAAATATCATTCTGATGGCACGATTGAACGCCTTAAAGCCCGTCTTGTTATTTTTGGCAATCGCCAGGTCACCTGGCCCAAGTGATTGGGATCGATTATAATGAAACTTTTGCTCTTGTTGCCAAAATGGTCACCGTTCGTGCTTTCCTTGCGGTTGCAGCATTCAAGAATTGGGAACTCCATCAGATGAACGTGCATAATGCCTTCCTACATGGCAATTTTAGAGGAAGAGGTATACATGCAGGTACCTCAAACGTATGCTGCTTCTCATCCATCTCTCGTTTGTCGTCTGCATAAATCTCTCTATGGCTTGAAACAGGCCCCACACTATTGGTTTGCTAAACTGGTTAGTGCTCTACGTGGTTATGGGTTACTTCAATCTTATGCAGACTATTCACTCTTTACTCGCACTCGGGGTTACGTTCCACGCAGCTTAATTTTCTGGTTTACGTGGATGACTTAATCATCTCAGGAAATGATCATGATTCATTAGGCTATCCTTCATTTTAAGTCCTATCTAAGTACCTGTTTTCATTTGAAAGATTTGGGAATTTTTCGCTATTTTCTTGTATTTGAGGTGGCCCGTAGCCCCTTGGGGCTCTTTCTTACTCAACGGAAGTATACTATGGATATTCTGTCTGAAACTGGTCTTTTATGGGCCAACCATCGGCTTTTCCAATTGAACAAAATCATTCCCTGGCCAATATTGATGGGCCTTACTTGCAGACCCAAAACCTTATCGATCGTCATCTACTCGAACGTCTCATTTATCTTGATGTCATCCCTCCTGACCTTGCCTATTCTATTCATATATTATCTCAATTTATGCAGGCACCATGTCAAGCTCACTAGGATGCTACTCTTCGGGTGGTCCGATACCTCAAAGGTTCCCCAAGACAAGGTATCCTTCTCCGGGCTGACAGTGATCTTTCACTAACTGGGTGGTGTGATTCTGACTGGGCCACTCTCCTGTCTGGGTGGTTTGTTTTTCTGGGCCACTCTCCTGTCTCCTGGAAAATTAAAAAGCAATCTACCGTTTCTCACTCCTCTGCCAAAGCTGAGTATCGCGCCATGGCAGCTGCCACATGTGAACTAAAGTGGCTGAAAGCATTACTTCTTAGCATCTGTATTCAGCATCCTCAAGCCATTCCTCTCTTTGGTGATTCAAAGGTAAGATCTCTTTAGCTCTTCTTCACTTTCTTTAGTTGCTTAGATTTTTTCTTCCCGGACATGTGTGCACCTTCATAATAATGCCAAAATTCCAAGCAAACTGCGCAATTATAATTAAACAAATTTTATATTTGGGAGCTAATAGCAACGAGCTATGGATTGTCACTTTTCTTGATTCAATATTTCACTCTCCACCAGTTTACAAGATTAAAGCTCAGGTTTGTCATTTTTCTTGATTCATAACCTATCATTAAAATACACCCTGATTTTGATTAAAATTCTCATTTTTTTCTTTTTAATTGAAGTTTTATGTAAAGATAATTTCAAGAGTATCCAAATTTAGGTGAATTGTCCGCTTCAACTTCCATCATATCCACCGTATTCTGAAACCCCCGCACTAAGCTGGCTATCATTGTTGGAATTGAAAAGCTTGAGAATCTTGGTCTGCATCTCTCAGCAACGGTGTAATAGAAAATCACCTTCACCGTCTAAATCCATCAAGGCTCGCACCCCATGCTTCGATAGCTCCCATAACAAACAAGATATCTTAGGAAGAGCCCAAAATAAATGAGGATAACAAGGGGAAAGCAACACAACATGATGTGATTCAATATTCACAAGACAACACAACTTTAACCAAGGTGAAAGCTACTTATAGTTCTAATTATATTTCAATCATGATTCATATCTCAACTTCTGAAGTCGAACTAGTGCAAAATAAGTGTATGGATCTATTTTTTGGTACACTTTTTCCTACAGTTTTCAATACTTTTCGACATTTGTTCTTAAATTTTACACTTACTTTTCAAGTCAATCTTCTTATATTAAGGAGAAAATATGTACATAAGTTTTTTGTTAAAGTATTTATCCCACATTATAAAGTTATAAAACAATAAAACACTACATAAGACTTTGGATTACTCCTATTAGGTTGACCTTTTAGCATGGAACCCCAGATCTTAACATGGTATAAGGGTCAAGTCCGTTTGTGGTTTGACGGCTTGTTTAACACTCATGATTAAGGGTAGCTTGTTAAGAGTCTATTTGGCTGATTTATACACTCTGAAATTGTCCAGCCCGATTTGGGCTGAGAGGGCGTGTTAAAGTATTTGTCCCACACCCGAAAGTTATAAAACAATAATATACTACTCCGTAGTACTATATAAGACTTTCGGTTACTCCTCCTATCAGATGGACCTTTTAGGATGGAACCCCGAGTCTTAACAGTTTTCAATACTTATGCTCTATGGAGATGGGGGTAGTCATCCCTAGATTGCCAATGAATTATAAATTTATTCATAAAATTTACATGTACTTTTCAAGTTAATCTTCTTATATAAAACGAAAGGCCAAGGAAAACATGCACATTTTCCTAAAATTTTCAATACTTTTCGAAATTTGTTCTTAAATTTACACTTACTTTCCAAGTTAATCTTCTTAATCATATTTAATTTCTTCAGTTAATTGAGTATCTATTAATAAATAATACTAGAGATGCTATAATTGAGTTACCATTCCAACTGAAATGGAATATTTGGGTCTGTATACAACTTTAGATATGTGTAGTTAAGTTTATGTCATATATTTGTATAAATTAAACAAATAGCATAACTAACTTATTTAAGTGGATAAAAATAGGCGGTTGCATGAGTGAACTATATTTACATTGCCTCACTTCAACCACAAAAGTGCTATGCACTTAAAAAAACATAATATAGGTTATTAATTTCTCTTATCATATTCCTCTTTCTTGATGATAAGTATTTATTAGTACAAAAATTAGTGACTTGGTTTTACTAAAATTGATGTTTACTGATCAGTGTATATTAATTACTCTCTTTTTTATTTATATGAATATGAATTAATGATGAATGATGGTCTATCATCAATAATGATGGCATGGATTTTAATGGATAATAATTAAACTATTAAATTATAATATTTATTAATAATTGAGGTTATCCATAATAATTAAAATTCCTATTATCGAGTATCTAAAATACACTACGAGAAAATTCTCTTGCTCAATTTATTTGTTCACTTATGACCTAATAAGTGATCTAATACTTAAAAAGACTACATTGTTTAATCTAATACCGTAATACCACTTAGTTCCTTTACGTGTACACATTATTTAAAATGTAAGGAAGCATTTAAATTGTTTAAAGAGTAATGTTTTTTAAAAAATGTGAGAATTCAAGCTACAATTCAAACACTACTCATTCATCAGTTTGAGGATCTTCTTGAAGAAGGATTGATTTATGCAATCATGGTTTAGAAGTCAAGTAAAATCAAGCCTACGGCCCATCCATTATATTTGAGTTTATCAAAGCTAGCAAATTAAATCATCAATCTTTAATATCTAAAAGCACTACAAAAAGAGTTATGATTAGAAATTCTTCTGCCCACTCACCCGTCCACTACTTAGAGGCTAATATGTAATTTAACACCTAATCTAAAAAAACTCCAATCCTATTCAAACCTACCTTAATCTCCTTCACCATGTGAAACTTCTGCCATACCATTTCGTTGCTCATGCCCAATACACCTTTCACCACGAAAAGAAGATACATATAACGGGTGAAATGCAAATAGTACCTTAACTATTGGTATTGTAATGTTTGGTACCTTAACTCTTGAATGAATCAAATCAGTATTATAACTATATACATAAACGTTTCAAATTTGCGACCAAAAAATCTTTCATGGCGATCAAAATTTCATGTGAAGAGTCACCCTATATTGACCACATGGACAAAAATAAGGTGAAGTAGACTTTACGCATAGAATTCCAGTCACCTCGTATGATTTTTTGGTTGGAAATTTGAATAATATTGCAAGTTGAATCATTTATGTATAGTTAAGGTACTGTTTTGATTCAATTAAGAGTTAATGTACTAAAATGCAACAATAACAATAGTTAAGGTACCATTTATGCATTTCACCTGACATATAACCTTCTCTTCCGGTACCAATCTGAGAGGATGGACTTAGATTTGACCTAGATCAAAACCTCATCATCTTCTTTTTTTATATATGAGCTTTCCATTCAATTTGGTATTATTATATATTAAGGATTGTTTTTGACAAACTAACCCTCTTTTTCAATTTGAGATCTGATGGAGGGTCGATTTGTTGTTGAACAAAACTTAAGCCATATTCATCTCTTTCCTTTCTCATCCCTCTCAATTCTTTCTGAAAATTGACTCACATCACCACTCTTTCATTTCTCGCTCTCTCTTTCCTGACTGATTTTCCTCTCGTATCTCTTTCGATTTTGCACTTTCTCGGCGTATGAAGATCTCTTAGGAAGAGACAGTTGGCAATATTTACCCATTTTATATCTTTATCTATCTTATTTTTACAACATTTTATTGTTGTTTGTAGTCTCTGTCGTTTTTATCCCTTTTTAACTCTGATTTCATATGTCCATTTATGTTAGCTTGCCCCAAAATCTTTTGGGACTAAGGCTTGAATGTTATTGTTGTTATGTTGTTGTTTGTAATCTCTATCTGAAGTAGTCGAAAGTATGGTAACATGATTGTTTTCTTGTTGAACATTTTGGACTTCCGTATGAAGAGCAGAAATATGTTTTTTAGCTTGTTAAATGATAAGTTAGGTTTTAGGTTCTACTAATTGAGGGATATTATGTGTAGATATTGCTCTCCGATTTTAGGTTCTGTAAAGTCTGTTATTCATTGATACATTGTGATACAATTATAAACGTATATATAATAGCTAACAGATCTCTAGTCTATTCTTAAGGAGTAAAAGTAGGAAGAGAGTACAACAACATAGATGATAAGTCATACATTAACAAAATTATCAAATGATTAAAAGATAAGTCTAACACACCCCCACAAGATGGTGGATCCATCGTATACGTCATTGTTGGACCGAAAACAAAGAAACAATGCACAATTGAGTGGCTTGGTAAGTGAATCAGCAAGTTGGGCCTTGGAAGAGATATGACTAACATGTAAGGCACCATCAAAACAAGATCACGTACAAAGAACTAATCTAAAGAGAGATATTTCATGTGGGAGAGAAAAACTGGATTTTTTCATACATAAGTGGCACTTAAATTTTCACCAAACAGAGAGGGGACACGAGAAGCTGAAACAATAATTTCACAAAACAAATGTTGGATCCAAAGTACCTCAGCAAGAGCATAAGCGATAGCGCGATACTCGCCTTGATGGAAGAGAGGGGAACCGTAGAACCAAGATAGATAGAATATGTAGAACGTCCAGAGATAGTCGAATTACCCCAATCAACATCAGCATCCAAAAAGGATGTACGTGTGATAAGTCCATTTTGGTACTTATTTTTCTTATCAAATTTAAGCGATTTTTGATTGAAAATAGAAAGAAAAGGCATGTTTTAGATATTTTGGTTCAAGTTTCATGAAATCAGGTGAAAACCACATTCATAACATGTTTTCCGGAATTTCGGGTCAATTGAGCACAAAATGAGTCAATTTGAGTAACAAATAAAGTCATACCGAAAGAAGAAAGCATAATATCAAAGTGGTCAAGAAGACAATCTTGAAGAGCAGATAATAGAGCACAAGGCAGATAAATTTACTCAAAGGCTGTCAATGAGGCTGCCATTTTGGCCGCCTATTTGGCCTCCTATGGTCAATTTGAAAAGTCAAAGTTTGGCTTTGACCAGAACTGGGAAAGACCGAAGGCTGCCGACAGTTAACGGAAGGCGGCCGCCCTCGGTGACTGCCTGCGGCACAACGCGACGGAGATAACGACCGGTCGGTAAGATTTGACGGAGGGCGGCCAGACAGAAACGGCAGGCGGCCGCCCTTGTGACAGCCTGCGGCGGAGATTTGACAGGCTGCCGGCGATGCGACGGAAGGCCGCCCACGGGAAATTTTTTGCTATAAATAGCAGGCTTTTTGCTCAACTCAGATACACCAATTTCAAGCCCAAATCAGATAAAAAAAAGGGCGTCTTCTTCCTCCTCAAAGCTCGGATTTCCACCATTGTTGCACCTTCATCTTCAATATTTCATATCTTTCTCATTTTAGCTCCAATTTGTAAGTTCTACATATGCATTTTCATCCTCTCAACGTGTAGAATCTGAATCTGTGCTTTGTTTTTTCTATTTGTTCTTCGAAAATTTCCAAAATGTTTATCAAGTAATTTGCATTTTCTTCCAAAAATTGAATAAAGTAATTGTCGATGTTGAATCTATTCCAATTAATTATATAGTTTTTTACTAGCCTCAAGGTAATTATTTATCAAAACAAAGTTAATATTTACGAAGTAGAAGTAAATTTTAATTAATTCCGTCATTTAGTTGTTATTATTGCATAAATTAAATTAAATACTCAAAAAAGGCAAAAAATTAGTTTCTGTCCTAATTCCAGTTTAATTCACAGTAATATCACTCCTAGTAGTCAATATAAAATTTAGAACGAATTTAGAATATCTGTAGTTGCTTTTTTTGTATTTTCTAGTTAATATTGGGAAAATTATCAATTAGTTGTTAAAATTGGATTTTAGGTTATAAAATTCGGGAAAAATTCCAGAAGGTGATATTTTAGTTCTACAAGTTTATTTTGGCAAAATATTATTTTTGTTTAATTTTCGCTATTATACATGCTTAATTCCTTGTTAATGTTGAATTTATTCATTGTATTGTTA